GTCAGTATGAGAACAGCTTGAATCTACAATCTATAGGAACAGTATTTGAGAATTGATTACAACGGAGGCTCCCTTATCCGAACATTTATTTTTACAATGTTCAAACGTTCCATTATCTAAATCTTGCATTATTTAGAATAATATAATAGAATAATAAATGTTTTGGTATCGGGATATTCAAAAAATTAAACCTTCAGATAAGAGAGGCACTATTACACTGTAAAAATGAGGTTAATAATTAAATATATACAGTAAATTCTTCCCAATTGTCTTTCGGCTTGTAACTAAAAAGAGAGATGGGAAGAGAAGATTCTATTATTCAAACTTCGTGGCTCGTTTTTATAATTGCCGATTGTCAACAACTATAAAAACGAGGCGCAAGGCTCGAATAATCGAGCCTTATAAATAAAATAAATATCTCCTATTTCCAAACTATCCATTTTTGATTGCAAGCTGAAGAACAATTGGGGAGAATTTACTGTACTGCATTTTAACATTGATTTTATGTTCAAGATATCGCATTAAAAATGCAATAATTAGCGACCGCTTATGTTAATTACAATTTACATCGGAGACGGCCTTGCAGCGGTTCTAATTGAAACTTTGCCTTCGCAGAATCAGAAAATGTTCGCACGGTAAACTGACGCTTATAAATGAGAGGAAGAAATCAAAAATGGAAGGAAAGTGAGGGAGATTAAAAAAAACATTCGTACCGTATATCGTCCGTGGAATTCGTTTCGGTGGAGAGGTACGTAAAACGACGGAAGGGAAAGTGCGAAAAATTGGTGACCGCGCTTCTGATAATTGAATGGCTGCGCCGTTCTATGGATTTATCTCTGCTACCAGAATTTTCCAGTGCGCCCTGGAATAGTTAAACCTTGACCTTTTATATCGGACCCGATCTTCCCGAGCTTCTCCCGAGTTTCTATCGAAGATGCAATTAATAAGCGCCAAACCTAATAGCGGGCTCAATCGTACTTAGCGCTCCCTATATTTATCCCGTTGCTACTGATTTAATTGCTGTTTCGAGGACAGCTTCGCACAATACTTCTGAGGCCGTGCAATTAAAATACAAGACCCGTCGACTTCGAATCCGAATTACAGACTTTTCATCGATTTTAATTTCGGAGTACAATACGCGTTTCAGCGAAATTTGGTAAATGTTAACACCTTACCTGTCGCAGATTTTTCATCATTCAGTGTCAGCCGAGATGACACTTTTTAAGAATTTCTTAAAAAATCATGGTTTGTTTTTCATACCGTAAGATAATTATGTAAGATGCATAAATGAAAAAAGAGAAAATCATTTTTCCTATAAGATTTTACAGCATACAGTATAATGATTTTTATTTCCATTTAACTTTCTACAGCAGAACTGTAATTTTTGTGAATGACTCCGTTAAATTATTTAGATTAATATGACGTAAGAAGTTCTTTTGAAGTTATTATATAAAAATTATCGAGCTTAGACACAGTTCAGTCATTGAAAAGATTGTCAAATAGGTTCCCGGTAAATAAAGTGTTAATCACAATTTATCTCATTTACTTTTGCATTCAAGACATTATGCATGCTTAGCAACAATTGAATTTAATATAATTATACCCGAATAATTATTTCATAATTTTCGTTGCAAGCAGACCGCAGATTCTCATGGAAAACAAAAGTTCTGTGCACCAACCGCAGCCAGCAAATGCTAAACGCGAACCAACTTTTAATAACTTTAATAAGTTGGAAATAATGCAAAACTAAATAAACATCGATTTTCATTTCGATTGTTCCGTATTTCGTGTATTAATTATTGCCGCGAAAGCATGGAATCCACAGACCCCACTTGGTAGCACAAAACAGTTGAGATTTTCGAGCTTCCGCGTAACAAAACGTCTAAATTGTTTATTCACGATCGGCATTATTTAACTTCGACTATCCAGATGCCTTTATAAATATTTCAAACGCGCTCTGATTTACTATTCATACCGCATTTTCCTATTGAAAACGGTACGTACTTGCGGAGGGAGAATCATAAACCCTCCATAGAACGATTGTACTGAAAAAAACTCTCGAGATCTGCATTTAATTTGATTATCAAAGTGACGGGGAACAATGTACCGGCGAAGTCGCTTCGGAGCGGTGTACTCGGTTGCAGCTGTAACTGCAATCGCGGAGTTCCGGTACGCATTGAATCGCGAACCGGTGCTTTGACATCTTATTGACCTTTCAGCGATCGTTTTAGACCACTCTTTTATTTATAGGTTACACGGTACAAGCAATTAATCGAGTCGGAATGAACTCGCTGGTTTCATATTTTTCTTTGCACGTTAGACAAATAGTATTATCTTGAAATCGGTATTAAACTTTCAGTTTGTAGTCACTTTTAATTGATTTTGTGCCAATTATCTACGGTAAACATATTAATAAATTCATGAATATTACAATTAGAAACCATTAGGGACAGCAGATTGTTTTAACACTTAGGCTAAAACGCTTAGAAGCAGAGTTCTTTCATTTTAATTATTTTATAATTTGTAAAAATGTATTCGTATTATCAAATTCGCATTGTCATAGAATATAAATAAGTTCATCGATTATTTTGTCATAAGTTCAACGAAGCTAATTTGCAATATTTAATGATAATGGTTCAAAAATATTTCAGTATATTTTTGAAAATGTTTATTGCACACAATTTGAAGATTAAACGCACTTCACTTCGCAAATTATAGACAATAAAAATTCATTCCGATATCACTAAAGTTTCAGAAGACTAAAAATTCGAACGCAATTGCTTGCATTGCTACTGTCAAATTCAAATGAAATCGTTAATTTTACTATTAACGATGAATGAATTGCCCTCGATTTGCAAAACGTAAAGAGATGCACCAAATTGTTTTTCACAGTGAAAAATACTCCTTCGCTCGGCCAAACGAAGTTCTACTAACTAATGTATAACAATGTTGCGATATCAAATCATGCGCTGACAGCGATCGATCGTTTTTTTTTTTTATGTAGATTGGATTTGGCAACTTCAAGTTATGGACGAACGTAAAGGTATCACGCATGAATTCCGTTTTACGGCCGCATGAATTTCAAAGCGGCCCGATAAAAATTCCTTTTCGATAAAACAGTATAATGTCTATTGGGCCTCGTTGGAATTCAGCGTTGCTAAATGCGCGGGAAAAACGGTGAACGTGTTCGCATCCAATGTGCCACGCGGTTCTGCTAAAGTGTGCACTTGTGCAGCCTCTGCCGAAACCATCGGGAGCATTTATATTCGACGAATTCATGGCGGCCATGCCCGGAAGCCGTTCAAATCCTCGCGCATTCGGCTTTTTCATCCATTTTTAAATCTGTTTCCGTGACATCGATGACGATTCACTCATTGAACCTAAAGGATGCACCTAATCGATTAAATTGATTCCAAAGAAATTCGAATATTAATGTGCCAGACTATTTACAGGAAGCATTAATTTTTCTTACATATTTTTTGATCTATTTATGTGAGCTCAATCTTGATTTTCGCAAGAAAATTAAAAATGCATTAATTTTTCTTACTGATTTTTTAACTTACTTCTGTGATATCGATATTGTTCTCCTCATTCAAACTGCAGCAAATAGCTAATAATTAGACTACAGGTTTAATGCATTCATGCGACAAACTAGTCGGTGAAATTTAAAGTAGAATGCAAGTCTGAGTGACTGAAAAATATCGATTTGCTACTTCGAACTTGTTGAAATGATTACAGCATGAACGAACAGACAATTTTATTTTTGCATAAAGACCAACAGTCTACTAATAAATTAAATTGGCTCTTGGTATGTTAAAATTTGGATGCATCATCAAGAGCTTATTTTTCTTAAATCAATTTAACTGAATAATCAAACGATATGAGAGAAGTGAGAGTCCATTCAAACTGAAGTATATGTTAAAAAACTTCTGTGCAACTTAGTGTAATTTATGTTACATTTTCAATGCTATATTTAATAGAGAGGAAAAATAATTATCCACAGATCCGTGGATATTCCAGGAGCCAATTTTAATTATTGGATTTTTGCACACGAAATAACGATTCTTCGATTTAACATTTATCTAAAAATCCGTCATTTCACGCGCAACCGTCCAGTAATTAACTGCCTGCATTAATAGAGAAATCAGAGAAGCATATATTCAAAAATATCCACAGCGAAATTGCAACGTTGGAATTCGAGTGGATCACAGCACCGTCGAAAATATGGATCTGCCGAAGGCACGTGATTTTGACAAAGATTGTACCCGCGCATATTAATGGTGGTTGCCAACTACGCGGTCAAATGAACACATCCATTATAACGGTTTATAAACCATGGAGATTGGTCGGGTATTGACGACGACGTGCGGTCTCCAATTTTTCAGATGGACCATGCCGCGCCATTTGCGATTGCGTGGCGGGCGCGATGGTCGTGTTTGATTCTGCAGTGATTGTGGTTTTGAGTTGTACAGCAAGCTATGGAATATGCAGCCGGTTAGGTCATACACCAATAGGAAATATGGCTGAGCGAAACCGCTGTCGAAGGTACGAATCGGCTAAATTGCATTGTCGCCTGCTAATCAGTTAATTTACCGAGGATATCCTGAAGATCCTCGGTCGGAATGGATCCGCTAGATCCGATAATTCGTGGTGTCCAAGTATTTTCGAGTATCGAGCGGAGTCAATATGTTGGCGACGCTAACTGCAGATTTTAGGGACGTCGAAATTTTAAGAAAATTATAGCAATTTATTTGACTTATTTGACTGCGATATTTAATTCGAGATTTGTCAGTGATGGTTAAATTACTTGTTCTTAATCTTGTGTTTTTCAATTGTTAAAGTTAGCTAGGATGCTTCTTTTCTGCATAGAAAATGATTTAATAAAATTCGAGATTAAAGCGTTCGTTGATTAAAAATGTGGAATATAACTTTTCAGTAGAATAAAATAGAATAGAATATTATGTAATAGAATATTATACAATGGAATATTATAGAATAGAATATTATACAATAGAATATTATGCAGTAGAATATTATATAATAGGATATTATGCAATAGAATATTACACAATAGAATATTATACAACAAAATATTATATAATAGGATATTATGCAATAGAATATTATACAATGGAATATTATAGAATAGAATATTATACAATAGAATATTGTGCAGTAGAATATTATATAATAGGATATTATGCAATAGAATATTATAGAATAGAATATTATAGAATAGAATATTATACAATAGAATATTATATAATAGAATATTATACAATAAAATATTATACAAAATATCACTTAAAATAAAATGTGAAACATATTCAGTCTTGTCGTTTTTACAAGACAACACATACTAATCACTTGTATCATA